CGTACAATATGATATGTATCATACTGTATGCCTTAATTAATATTTTTCTTAATTTATCCAGCGATATCAAGCACTCAAATCTTTGACAATTATTGTATTTCATCGTACTGTACAAACTAGTTCAAACTGTATGATTATCTATGTTTGAAATTGGTCATCTTGTGGTGCGTACCGAATTAAATCCATGATTTTTATACTAATCATACCGTGCGATCTCCACAATGCTGGATGATCTCCCGTGTATGAAGTTGGCCATCCCAAGGATCATCCCAAATGAACAAAAGGATTTAATACACATCGTACTCTATAATTTTGGATCATATTGTATGATGTATTATAAAATTTAAATAGTTCATCTTAATGATCTTGATGAATGATTCTAAATTAAACTTATCGTATTGTATGATATATCTATCATACTGTATAAATAGAAGACATATGGCTTGGAAATTAGGGTTTTTTGAAGCCCTCTATTTAAGTATCTCTAACACTCTTGTTTGAAATCTTTTGCTGCTTAGTCTTCTTGAAAGAGAGCTTGAGGGAGAGAAGAAGGAGGGCATGGTGAGTGAAGATAGGGAGATTTTGTGAAGGAGAAGTTATGAGGGGATTAACTAGGTTTCTCCAAGCAAGAATCTTGCCTAGTACCCGCAAGCTTCTGCTTGGAATCTAAATGGCTCTGGACAAGAAGTTCTTCAGTAAAGATCATTGTTCTTTGACCATCACCTAGAGGGTGGAAATTTATTTGTGGTTCTCTAATCATCTCTAGGAGGGTGAAAATAGAGTAAGGTTTTGTGCCTGTAAAAGAGTTATGGTTCTCTACCGCACTGGGGTGGGAAATAGAGTTTGTATAGGCTTCTCTGCCTTGCTATGGGAGTAAAAGGATAGTCATTTTTATTTAGTGCAATACTTGGAGAGGGAGTATCCAAGGAGTGGACGTAGGTCAGGTTGACTGAACAACTATAAATTTTGGTGTGTTCTTTCTTATTACTTTTACTGTGTTTTAATTTCCACACTTTTTGTCATATGATTTATGGTCAAAATATCTATTTTTTGTTATTATAAAATTTAGGTTTTTTTGTATTAGGAGGTTCAAAATTCTTATTTGATTAATAAATCTTTAAACTACTAATTCAAACCCCTCACGGTTATCCTCGGGATTACTTCTTTAGGGTTTAATCACCCTAAAAAACTTTCAAACAACCCTTTGTTTACTTAACCCAATTGACCCAATCAAATGGGCTAAGTTTACAAAATGAGCTAATCTACCCCATTTATAATCAATTGGATGTAGTGAAATGAAAACCATGTTGGAAAGGGATGTGAATGAGATTAATTATTTTATTTGAAATTTGAGAAGGATAATACACACCCAATTGAATTCACTTTAATTAAACCCATCAATCCATTATTATTCATTAGTTAAACCATAATAAAATAAGATTAGGACTAGTATACTATGCCAATGCGATTTATCATCAAATTCTTCCAAAATCACTACTAATCTCTTCTTCTTTAGACTCCTAACAACTTAATGGTGTGGCGGGAACAAACGAGCATAGTGGGTATGAAGTCTATTGCTATTGTTACAGTGATGAACAATGTCTATATGAATATTAATATGCTTATGGTTTTCTTTGATATTAAATTTCTGCTATAAATATACAAGTATACAATTCGATTAAGTAATAAAGTGAATGAAGGAGTTTTGGTCCCATGAGAAAGTGTTATGCTAAATTGCAATCAACTAGTATTATTTACTATAGATGCATAGTTTATCCTAGCATATAAAAAATGAAATGTTTAAGTTTTTTCCACTTACAAGGAATGCAAATAGATAAGGTTATACCAATATTTAAAAAATATCTTATGCTAATGCATGAGAATAATAATGATTTTTTAAATGAGATTCTTAACGGTAGATGTAGATCAGAGCATATATATCCCTAGATCTTTGTATAGTATATAGGGGTGAAAAGCAAGATTGACAACTTTCCTATAATTTTAACATCTCTATACAGCCTAGAAGGTTAACCATCCTATACTTATAGGTATGCCAACATTTCATTCAAATATTCTTTTTTGTTCCAATATACCTCCGATGAATTAATCTATCACACTAATTACTAATTATATATATAACCATCGCATGCACTAAATAAAGAATAGAAGATAATAAAAATATACATAAATTTCATTAAAATCATGATAGTCTATAGTAGAATATATAATGTAATTTCCTATTAGCCCAAAACTCAAAAATTAGCTAGACATAGATAAATTTGAAAGCAAACTCAATTCCATTTCACTCATAGAAGAAAGGATATAGGAGAAAATAAGGATAAACTTCACTATGATAGCATAATTGACTTCTCCACACTCCTTCCTCCCCTAATGTTAAGATTGCTTACACAAGATAAGATAAGATCGCCACTGAATGTATCTTGTACTTTCTTAGCCTCCTTTAGAAATTACTCTAAGGGCCATTAAAGCATTGTACTAAATTTTATAGGACTCTTCTGAAACTGATAAAACTCCCTAAGAAAAGAACTAAAAAAACTATATAAAAATAAGTGTAGAAATGACCCCCCAAGTGATGCGACGCTCAAAGTGTTGGCATTGCTATGCTATCAAATGAATTGGTGCCTTAATACTGTTAGGCTTAGTTTATTATAGTGTTGTGCTAGCTTGATGTATATTTTGGCTTAATTTCTAATGCTACAGGGCTATGTAGTTCTATGCTGGTGATCTTAGCTATAGCAGGACACTAATGTTTCTTAAATTTTGGAGTGATTAGTGTTACAATATCTAAATTAGAAACTGCAGCATTTTAAATGACATCAATATGAGAGCTCTTGACAAGAGTAAATTATGTAGGTTTTTTTATATTTCAGTTCCAGTAAAAATGTATTTTTTTTAGTTGTGTTTATTTACAAAAAAAACTCAAAAATGACCAGAACTTCTAAAGAGCTTATGGTGTCATATCATCAACTCAAAAAATGTTGCATCACCATCTTCAATAAAACCAAGGCACCACAAATCAGATATTATAGTGCAAAGTTTTCTATTAACTTGCACTACAATGTTAATAAAGCTAGTGCCACATTATTACCAACACTGTGATGTCATGAAGTTAGCCTGGTAGCGCTAGATTCTCTAGTTTTAAATTCCATGATGCCACAATTTTTCATGCCTTGGTGCCATTTTTTGCACTAAGGCACCTCCGGTGTTAAATGTTATCATTTCTATGGTAATTTAATTATACATTCCAAGTGACACATTCTATTAGTCAAGATATGTGATTTTTCACTAAGTAATTGATCTACATCAGCAATCATCGTGGTAATGCAAAAGTTTAAGCACTGAGGTGTTAGTTCACTTAAAGGGTGCCACAATGCCATGTTTCAAGTGCTGTAGTGACTTATACCTTTTCTTGTTGTACTATAAATAGTTTTGATGATATGTTTATAGGAGAGTTCAACCACATCTCAAAAATTTAGTATTTCTTAAAGTACTTCTTTAGATCCCTCTCTGAGTTAAATCTAAGGGAGGCTAGGGAAGTACATGATGCAATCATTTGGAGTATTTAGCTTATATTTCTTAAAGTAACTCTGTAATTTAAGGGAGAAGGAGTGTAGAGGAGGTATTTTGATCCTTTCTTGTTATATCACTCTCTTAAATTTTCATTCTTTCATGAGTATAATAAACATGAGTTTGCTTGTTATTTATTCTATGTCTGGCTAACTCTATTATTTTGGATTAATGTTTTAAAGTATATGTTAAAAAATAATGAAGACTCTTATTCCATATGTGCAGTTAAAATATAATGTGATGTATAGTTTTGATGAAGGAATGCAAGAACAATATGGAATATTGAGATAAGATGTTTGCAAGCCTAGACATATGATGTAAATTTTTCTAGGTTCTTAAGGAGATACTATAATTGTAGGAGGTCAACAAATATCCTTTTCACCCCTACAAGCTTGAAAGAGTTCTAAGAATGCATATACTCTGAATCACAACTATAATAAAAATTCTTATTAGGAAATATGTAAAATTTAACTCATCAATTCAAAACACTTAGTTAAATATTATATCCTTTTTTTTTACTATTTTACCCTATTATATAATCTCCCTAATTATCTTTTTTATATTAGTAGGAAAGTTGTTATAATTAGAATAAATTACAGTTGTTTGTTGTACATATGCATACTTCCTCGTAGATGTTCGACACTCTACTTTATCACTTTATTACTTAATTTGGCATGCATTCTTTATTATATTATGTGGAATTTTATTAATTTTATATCAAAGGAAACCAATGAATAGTTTAAGGGTAAAAGAGCTCTAAACATGTATACAATTCAAAAGTCCACTCCACCATTTCTATCAAGTTTTTTTACAGTGTTGCTAGGGAAATATTTTTCTTTTATAATTTTAACTATATTATTGAATTAATTGCATAGTTAGACCTACTTGTATCTTTTATTTTCTTATTAAAATTATTTATTGCATATTTATGGTTGTATGCTTTGCAGACATAGATTGAAATCTTTATTGTTTGAAGAAGAAATAGAACCCTTTCAAAAACTTAATAAACAAAAAAGATTATAAATATGGCTAAACATATTCTAGATCAAGAATTCTCTATACCACTTAGGGATTATGCTAATGCTTTAGTAGATGGAATTCATCAGATCATTAAAATACCGATGATCCAAGCTAATAATTTTGAATTAAAACTTGTCATAATTCAAATGGATCAAAATTCTCAATTTAGGAAAAGTTTTGTTGATGATCGTAATTTATACTTGCAAGTATCTTATAAATTCATGCAACTTTTAAGTACAATAGTGTTAGTAATGATGCTATTTGACCTCTATTTTTCTCTAAGAGTTAAAGTCACGATGTGGTGGAATTCCTTACCCCAAGTCTCTAATACCACTATGAATTAGTTGGCTCATAAGTTTCTTACTAAGTATTTCCCTCCTTCAATAACTACAAACCTTAGAAATTATATCACTTCTTTTACCTAGTTAGAAGTAGAATCAATTTATGAGCATTGGTAGAGATTTAAGGAAATTGTTAGGAAGTTCCCTCATCATGCTTTACCAAATTGGTTGGTTTTTCATACATTTTATAATGTATTTGAAGGATCTCTTAGAGATATCATAGAAGTTGTAGGTGGAGGTGTTTGAATAGTTGCTATTTGAATGATTTATATTTGTGCAACTTATCATCGTACGAGGCGATGGGTTCACTGGAAAAATTTCGTACAGACGAAAATAAATATCGTACAGGACGATCAGTTCTCTGCAAAATTTTTCGTCCAGACGAAAACAAATTATCGTCCGCGGCGATTGGTTGTCTGGAAAATTTTCGTCCAGACGAAATAAATAATCGTCTAGGACGATCGGCTCTCTGGAAAATTTTCGTCCAGACGATCACATTTTCGTTCAAACGATAAACCGACTTAGAACAGTTTTCAGCAGTTTCTAGAACCGACCTTGCAATAACCGTTCGTACTGGACGAACCTAGTTCGTACAGGACGATCATCTGTACGAAGACATTTCGTACACATATTCAAATTGGGTCGTTTCAGATCGTTTAAGTAAAATCGTCCAGGACGATCTAGGATCGTACCGGACGATCCACTGCGTACAGAATTGGAAATTTGCAGTTTTTGGGTGGTTTCTCTTGTCTTTTATATAAATAGTCCAAATTAGACTGCCACCCAATCTTTTTGTCATTTGATCTTCGTGCCTCTTGAGAGAATAGCCAAGGAGAGAGTGGAAGAGAGCATTCAAAGGAGGATTCCTACCACTGGAGCGAGAAGGCTTCACTTGGATTGCTAAGGTAAGAGTCTCTACTTGTGAAATTGGATTTCTTCACTCTTTTCTTTCTTCCTTCTAGATTCTTGTGAGAAGATCATTCAAGGAGATCCGGTTCTCTGCCGACACTTGGAGAGTGTGAACAGCCGTAGGGTTCTCTGCCCACACTAGGAGAGTGTAAAAGGACGACGGTTCTCTGCCGACACTTGGAGAGTGTGAACAGCCGTAGGGTTCTCTGCCCACACTAGGAGAGTGTAAAAGGACGACGGTTCTCTATCGCACCGGGTAGTGGTGAAAAGAGTGTTTTGTACAGGCTTCTCCGCCTTGCTGTGGGTGCTAAAGGAGAGTCACTTTGTGGTATTAGTGCAATACTCAGAGGGTGCCTTTGAGGAGTGGATGTAGGTCTGGTTATAGACCGAACCACTATAAATCTGGTGTCATTTACTTTATTGCTTTTACGTTTCCGCATTTTAAATTTCAGTTTTAACAACTCTGTGGTTGAAAATCTTTTTTCTACTAACTTTAAAAGAAGATTTTATTTCGGTTCAACTTTATCATTTAGAGGGTTTAAAATTTTTAAAACTACCAATTCACCCCCCTCTTGGTAGCCGTGGGACATTTACTTAGGCTTAACAACCTAATTACTGGACTCAACAGGAGGATCATTAGTATCTAAGCCATTTAAGGAAGCATATGAACTAATTGAGGAAATGACTACTAATGATTTCCAATGGCCTGCTAATAGGGTAAATCATAAGTGAATAGCAAGAACATATGAATCTGATGCTTTGTTAATTTTGACTGCACAAGTTGCAATTATTTCTAAGAAGTTGAGCACAATAGGAGTAAATGTAGATTTATGAACTTAATTGTTTATGCCATTGGAGGATCAAAATTTATTAAAAATAGTAATGTCCAATAAATTAAAAATAATAATTTGATTGGAAGTATAATCCATGTTGGAGGAACCATTCTAATTTTATTGCTGGTAATTATCAATGGAATTCTAGTAAAAAATAAAAAGTAAAATGGAAGAATCCTCAACAACCTACTGTTAATTCTAAACCTATATATATTCTAGTATTTAATCAAACTAATCAGTTTGGGAGTAAAAAATCATCATTGGAAGGTGTAGTAATGAAGTGATGAACTCAATTGCAAAATCAAACCGCTTCAATTTAAATTTTAGAAATCCAGTTAAGTTAGCTTGTAATTTGGGCTAGTAGTAGACCTCTTTAGTTATTACCTAGCAATACTGAAGTTAACCCAAAAGAAAAACAAAAGTATAGGAAAATAGCAAGTACCTCAGCCAAATTAATAAATGTACGCAAGTTAGGATGAAGACTATTATATTAGCATAATATGGGAGGTAACCATTATTTAGGTTTAGTGTGTTATATTAAATTATTTAAATTTACATGATTTGTATTTCATATGTTGTTGTTCTTGACTTTTTTCATTTTTCTTTATTTTGATAATTCAAGTTATGATCTGAATTTAGTAAATAAGAGATGATCCGAAACTTAATTGAGCGCCGCAGTTCTAAATACTTTGGCAACACTGCACTACTCTCCTAAGTGACATAATATTTGAAAGTAAGCACTATATACAACGTTAAACCTTGAATAATGCTAATTTTAAACCACTATTTTCTTGCTTAATTAGCACATGGGCACATATTTTTTGAGTGTCGCAGCACGTAACATTCAAGTCAAAATGAAGAAGTGGTTCTACCAAGTTGAAAAGAAAATTGTATTATCAAAACTTTAGTGAGCATCCCAGCGATGATAACTAACACCGTGGTACCATTACAACTCCCTTATTAATTTATTAACAACACCATAGTGATTACTAATACAAAAGTTGTTGAACTTACATGTGTAAAATGCCATAGTAGTGGAAAAATTTCAAAGCGACGCTATAATTTTTAAAAATTTGGTTTACAGCATTGCACAACCTACACTACTGTAGTGCATTCCAGTTTAACCATTTTGTCATCTTGTGCATATTTATATGTCATGCATTATTTTTTGAAGGGATGGAATGCTTAATCAAGTTATAAATAAGGGTTCAATTTTTTTATTTCATTCACAACATATCATTTCCTGCAATCTCTTCTTCTTATAATCTACTCAAAATTGATAGCCCCTAAACTATTTTGGAAGAAGTGGGCTTCCTCTTCCTTTCATAAGAGCATATTCATTTATTCTAATTTAGAGTCTACATAAAATAATTTAGTTGTGAATAAACAACTAATTCCTTATAGGGCTTTTCAGAATCCAAGCCCTATCATGCAAATCATTACAAGTAGAGGATGGGAAAATTTTTGTGAAGAATTACATGCTGCCATTATAAATATGGTCAAAGAAATTTTTAGTCAATAAAATAAGGTAGTAGATAACAAATGCTATGTTAGGGGTAAGTAGGCCTCTTTTAATTATATAAAAATTAATAAAATTTATAAACTTAGTGATTTATAATATGATGAATACATTACTTTTATTGAGACAACTATTAATTCTCAAGATGTTCTGAATTTTCTTTGTGGAGCTAATAACAGAGCAAGTTGAAAAATAAGAGATAATAAAATTATTAATTCCTTGCCACCTACCTGACCAAAACCTCTAATGAATGACACGATTTCATTTCAGTTAGTTTATTACCTAGCAGGAATATTAGTGAAGTTACTCGTGATCTTACCCTTTTGAACTATGCTATTGAAATGCGATGCTCCATTAATGTAGGGAAACTTATTTTATCCTCTATTATATGCATCATTAGGGGTACCACTTCTATTGAGTTAGGGCACCATTCTCTAGCTTATGCTTTATATGTTGTAGTGGGTGTAAGGTGTGAGAAAACTGAAGAATAATTGTTCCCCATTATAGCCCTTACAAAAAAATATAGTATTAAATAATTTGAGAAGGAGGAACAAGGAGACCTTAATAAACCTAGAGTGTATAGGAGGCCTGATAGCAGTAGTATTATTAGAAGTGCTAGAACTCTTAAAACTTTTGAAAATCAGGTGGATGAACTAAGAGGGAAGATGGAAAAGGTGACTCAATTCTATGAAAAATTAAAAAGTTTGGTTACTTTAGATAAGGATGAGGATGGCCCATAATATGGATCATCATGAAAAGCATTATAGATACATATTGACTTTAATGATAGTATTCCAAGTATGCTTTGAAGTAGTACTTTTAAAAAACATCTTGATAAGCTTCAATTTCCATCTACACCTTCTTAGAATCCTTTTGTTTGGTAGCTTAGTGATAAAGGCAATAATGGTGATGATTATTATGAGGAGGAGAAAGAAAACCTACATTTTGTTAGGTGTTTATCTTATTTGGCCTGAGGAGAGAGAGAAATTGATTGCTACTTTCATTATGTAGCATATTTTTACCTTTCTTTCTTTTTTTCTTTTCTTTATTATAGGGGGATTCCTTTAACATGATGGAGTTATATTATTGTTCTAGATTGATGATCAGTTTTGGCCTTGATATCCATTGAATGTGTTATGGTGCTTATAGCACTAGTTTTCTTATATGTTCTATTAGCTTATTTTGTTTCACATATTTTTTACTTTTCTCTCATTCACATGAAAACATATGTATTTATTAATGTTTATGTGTGTTTCTATTTATATTTTATTAGATTCTCCTTATAATTACATTTTTTATGTTACCTTCAATAAAATCTCTACATTCTGCTTATTTATTCAACCATAATAAAAATGATAGTTAAAATTAGGATAGTAATAAAACCCTATATTATAGTTCAAATGAACACTACTTTAGAATTTATTGATTTGAAAAACTAATAATTAACTAAATTAGATCATTTAAAATATTAACTTAATTTAAACTTATATGTTATATATTTATACATTAACTTTTTTGAGTTGAAGATGAATAATTAATGTTAAAGAATAGGTATGGGTAGGTTAAAATTGAAAATCATAGGAACCTTAATTTGGAATTAAATTTTTTTATTAAAACCTTGCATTAAAGTCATTAAGGTTATAAGAAGATTTTAAGTAATACTAATAATCAAAATCATTAACTATGTACTCCACCAACAATAAAAAAAGAAAGAAATATGAAAAAGTTTTAAAATGAAAAGAAAAAGAAAAATGTGTGCAATAAAAATTAATATAAGATGAAAGCTTATAATTTGATTGCAATGTTATACTTAAATTCACAAAGGATAAGATATGAGAGCTGGTACAAATGATGGTGAACTATTGAATTTTCAATTTTAACTATACAGTCATCTAAG